AGGACATACTATTATTGATTCTAGAGAGAAAAAGGGAGAGGGAGAGAGAGAGGAACGTCAATTGGCCTCTTCTCAACTTGCCTGATTAGGGAACCCGTGACTCCTCAGTGGACAGAACAATGCTCCAAACAACTGAGCCGCCTGGCCAGGGCAGAATCTTTATTATTAACCTAATAAAATGCCATGATTGAGGCACAAAATATGTGGCCTATGGTTTAGGAAATAATATTAATGACTTTGTGAAGACTCAAACTGAATTGATAGCACCAAGAGGGATGGTCTCTTTTTCCATCTAAGTCAGTGCTTCTTATTTAAGAAAAAAACAGAAGCTTATTAGAGGCCCTTTTTAAATTGGCCTGAACACATTGATGTAAAACAATCCTGGGTTTGGGGAGTATGAAAGAGAGAAACGTTTGGAGTAGAACTTCCTTATCTACAAGGAATGGTTGGTGTATGGCGGAAAAAAAAAAAAAAAAGGGCTTAGACTATTCAAGTTGGAAGACTAAAAATGGCAATTCAGTTTCCTCTCAAAAACAGGCCTTGCATTGTGTCAGTGGGACAATGGAAGTAGAAGCCAAAAGTCAGTTTATTTTGAGGTTGCTATAAAACATTTGTCCCCCATTGGATGACTGGGGACACCTGGAGCTACAGTTGTGCTCTGACCTTTTCCTCTGCCGTATACCATGATCCCTCAGGGAACACGGGACTTCCTTGCTATTGCCAAATATATATATATGTTCTTTTTCCAACCTGATCCTCTCGCATCCTTAAAATAATCAGCACGAACAGAATGAAGCAGATGGCACAAGCCTTCTTTGGCATACTGGCAGATCTGTATCACTCCGTATTTTTAGAATCAAGGGATTGGAAATTATGTCCTGAGATGTTTTGAAGGAAGACTTACTATCTTTCTATGGTGACAGGTGTTGAAATATTACCGAACTGAAGACTCACATGCAATCTGTGCGTTGAGTCTCAGAACAGACTAATTATGGTCAAGACCCTCCCTGTGTCGTTCTCTGTCGGGATTGTTGGACGTTTGCCAGGTATTAGAAAGATACTCAAAGTCTGTTTGAAGGATGTGGCTATAGAGCGCATCAGGTTTCAACCAAAGACTGGAATCAGCAACAGCCAGCCAGCTCTGGTCAAGTACGTGGTGATGGGAGATGTTGTGTTATCTTCACGGTTTATTTTTTAAAAATAGCTGAGCTTTGATCCTTGGCCACAGTGAATTTATAGTCTGTTGGGAAAGATTATTTTCATAGATGTTTGTGATTATATCATGAAAAACTGTGCAAATATTTATATTTGGAGGTCCATATTTAATGAAATACACAGCTACAGTGAATGAAGTAACTATTTATGAATTTGAATTCAACCTCAAAAAATATTTCCTGAATAAATTAAAGAATGTTTACTATCATATAATTAATCCAGTTCAACATCTGAGGACTAGCTTTTTACTCAGTGTGGGGCTAGGTGTATTTAACAGACATATCTAAAACTCAGAAAGATAAAAGCCTTGGAAATGAAATAAGTTAATTAAGTATAATAATGTTTAACTGGCTTAAAGTTTTTTAGTTCTTTGGGAGAAAGTTCAGAGGGGGAGTTAGAGGAAATGTGCCTCACTTTTAAATAAAATGTGGCCATGTCTGAAACTCCCTGACTATGTACTTACCATCTTTGAAGGCCCAAAACAAATGTAGGTAATGATGTTCATGACTGTTGAACTTCTGAACTTAGGGAAGTGGCTGGAGATTGGATCTGGGAAAACTTTATTAATCCCAAAGTACGGATACCTTTTATTTTTAATTGAAGAAAAATATGTTTCATTTGGTAAGGAGTCAGTCAACCTTGATATCTTTTGAGAAACAAAAGAGTGCAGGCTAATTTTTACTTTCACCCTCATATGTCCTTTCTGTATGTGTAGACGTGTGTGTTGTTTAGACTGCCGGCCCCCCTAGTAGGAATAATGGATGATGAATTACATATAGGGAGAGAATATGGCTTTTTTCTATTATATCCATAGCTGGATGGTGAGAACCATGCACCAGCTGACGGTTTCTTCATCAATCCCACATTTCTGTACAGAATGTTTTAAACAACAGTATGCTTGCAGAACTACCTTCTTTTAGATGTTTGTTCCCAGCAGCCCATGCACAAATGAGGGAACTGAAACTCAGGACACGGCTAACAAGTGGCTTAGCTGGAATTAGAATGGGGAATCTTCCCGCTGTATTTGTAGAATACATGACTAGATCTACATGAATTCCTTTGCTTTAGGGAAACACCGGAGGGTCCTCTCTTTGATGGTGAAGTTAAGAGCCAGCCTGTGCTGCCCAGTCCATCAGCCGTCAGCTACACGCAGCTCCTAAACATTTCCGTTTCTCAACGTCCCATTTTGAGTGTTCAATAGTCTTCATATACGTGACTTTTCCATCATCAAAAGTTCTGTTGGACATACTGGGTATCTTTCATAAAGCTAAGAGTTGGGGAGAATGAATGTACTGAGAAGCTGACAAAAGTGTGCATGCAAGGGATTGATGTACTAGTAGATGAATTATGAAATCTTCACCCCAGATCAGCTCCTTCTGGGTGACTAGTACTACTTTGGGTTCAGCTAAGATGAACTTCACACTTCGTATTGTGTGCACATTTTAATCTTTTTGACAGACTTGGGAAGAACCCAGAGCAGTTTCGAGTGAATGAGTTGAGCATATTTCAGCTCTCTGCCTTTTATAGCTGGGCCAGTGTGAGCCAGACTTGGGCTGGAAAAGTAGACGCATCATGAGACCTGGCAGCAAGCACTGGGCCACACAGGGTAATTCCTGGAAGGAATTATTTTGCGGCCAGCGTTGTTGGGGATGCCTCAAAGCAGGGCCTCTGGCATGAACGGGGTTACTGAGAGGGAACAGGGAGTTGGGAGATGGATCTGGACAAGGGTTCAGCGCAAATCACCACAGTTAGTTGCAGAGAAGGTGTGTGCGAGCTGCCCTCAGAAAGATTTGGTGCCAAGATGCTGGCTTTGGCTCAGGGCCGAAGCGCCGATTCAGAGTGTGTGGCATGTCAGTCCTGAGGGTTCCCAGCAGGTGTGGCGGATGGGAGGGTGTCAGCCAGGTGCCAGCTCCTGTGAACTCGGTCCAGACACTAAATATCTGAGCTAGTGGATGGGGAACACAGAAGTTTGCCGTGATTTTGGCCACTAGAAAAGGAACGTATGTTTTGTCTGTGAACATGTGCTGTGGGTTGATCTAGTTAAAGATGCTCAAACTGTTAAATAGTTTCATCTAGCTAGACTCTAGCTTTCTGGTCAGAAAGTAACTGAAAAGGTAAAGATGAACTTTCTACAACACAGAGCAATTCTAAAGCCTTGGCGGTGAATGAATGACTGCAGGACACAGGCTCCTGCTGTGATTGGCCTGTCGGTCATGAGTGCACTGTCTACTTGACAGAGTACAGAAAGTGCAGGCCTGTGTACAAAAGCTCCTCCAGTGTACAGTGTCAGCATATGGGTCTCTAATTGGCACTTGAGGGGTTAGCGTCTCCTCCCTAATCCCCCCCCCCTCCCAGGCAACCCCTCCTCCCTCCCCGAGTTACTCACCGGGACTCTAGGTGCCAGAGTTGTGCTGTGTTGTTTGTGACGCTGTCTCAGGCTCTTGGGTTCCTCGGATGACGACCAGTTGGTAGAAAAAGAAGAGCCCGGTTTTGGGTGCTTTGCTTGGGTTGGAACGGTGGTCACAATTAGAGTTCTCCTGGAAGTGATTGGCCAAACGGGTGAGGCTGGGCATGAGGAAATGCCCCCATCAACAACAGGGGGAGAGGTTAGCAGAAACAGTTTACTAGATGTGGCGTCTACACATTTCAGTGCCTCCTGCGCCTTCCCTGGAGCCATCGCCAGCGGTGTTTCCTGGGAATCGTGGTCTCCCCTCCAGAGGCTCACTGGTGACTTCAGCTCGCTGTGTTCACACCTTGTTTCCTTGGCAGAGTCGAGTCCTTCTGCACGGTAACCTTATAAGCAAATGAACTTGGATGTATACAAGTGATTTTGTTGCATCCCCTAGAAGTTTAAACAGGTATGATGAGTAACACATGCTACCTGACAGCGAGGGGAGAGGAATAGAGCCCACGGTTTGACTAAGCAGGGATGACTTTTGTTTCTGTACCGGTAACACCCTCCAACACCAACTCTCTCCAGTTGGCCAGCTGAGCCTCACACTGACCAGAGATCATGGTTTGAAGTAGATAGTACCGAGTCTATGGATAAAGAGCCATCATCCTCACAAAGAAAGTGCTTCACCCACCAGCATAACACTGTGCTCCTCGCCACTCCAGAGAAGCACCTCTGAAAGGATCCCTTATAGCCCCCAGGAGGATAGGGCATCATGCTGCATCAGTAGTTGATTCTGAACTGGTGTGTGTGGGGGGGAGGAGGGAGGGAGGAAAAGCATTGTTTTCCAATAGCTCCGTGGTCGACAAACTGTGGCTCAAGAGCCACATGAGGCTCTTTGGCCCCTTGAGCGTGGCTCTTCCACAAAATACCATGGCCTGGGTGAGTCTATTTTGAAGAAGAGGTGTTAGAAGAAGTTTAAGTTTAAAACATTTGGCTCTTAAATTTCAATCATTCTACTGTTGATATTTGGCTCTGTTGTCTAATGAGTTTGCAATAGCTAATGCAAGAAAATGGTTTCTCTTCTCTCCACAGTCTGCAGATTACCTTTCTACTCCTGGAATCTCATCTGTGCCCATACGTTCCCCTCTGAGCTTGAGACTGCACACACCCTAGACCGTGGGACAGCAGGAAGCAGAGCTAGTGGCTCCTGAGGCCCAGGTCTGAGTAGAACCAAGCCCAGGACACTGCCTTTGCCCTGGTCTGGAGTTCAGGCGGGTGGTGGTGGTGGGGCTGCCTTTGCTCATGGGCTCAGGACCAACCTTTCTTTTGTGCTTCCCTGGCACAGCATTCAGTCAGCGCATCTGAAAAGGAAGGTGTGAAAAGCAAAACCATGGCTGCTGCCTACCTTTGCCAGGTCTGTGGCCAGACGTTCCTCTCCCGAGAGAAGTTCACTGTCCACGGTCTCACTCACACCAAGGAGCGGCCTTTCAAGTGCCAGCACCCCGAGTGTGGCAAAGCTTTTGTTTCCAGATATAAGCTAATGAGGTGAGAACCTTTAGAAAAGTATGTGCTTTTACTCATGTCTTTGCATGGCTTTGCCAATCCTCCAACCGAACACTGCATGGGAAAGGGACGCAGAATGTGGCGCACTGCAGCCTGGAAGCCGTGTCTGGTGTGACTGAGGTTTCATGTGACAGTTTTGCTGTGCCCTGTCATTCTTTCAACAAGTGTGTCTTGTGCTCCTCCAGTAACAGGCCCCCTCTAAGAACTGAAAGATGAGGCAGCCCAGGCTGGGAAGAGAGTTGTGCACACAGACTCCTTGAATTAAAATGCAGTCTGAGCTCTTTGACAGCTGTGCAAGTGGTGGACAGCAGGGTGCCTTAGAGTTTGCTCTCCTTGACACTCTCTCTCTCAATGGCAGCATTCCATCCCATTTCCCTCAATTACAACATACGCTCCATTTTATAAGCAGAGGTTGAGGGAGAAAATGACTGACTTGCTTCACCAGAAAGAGGACATGGGTCCCAATACAGCAAACAGTGGAAGCAGTGGGAGGGAGAGAGTCAAGGAGAGATGATCACGAGGCAGGAGAAACTCATCAGAGCCGCTATCCCTGAGGGGTCCCAAGGCTGCTGACGTGGGCTAGGTGCCACCCCACCGTGGCGCTCTGAAGAGGGGACAGACAAGTATGATTTCGTGGGTTGAGCAGTAAGAGGAGAGGTTGAGGGAAGGAAGCAAGTTGTTAAAGTAATTTCAGCCATGAGATGATTACGTCCTGGGCTGAGACTATTGTACGAGTAAGCGAAGGATACTTTAAAAGGGGGAGACAGGATGCCAGGCAGAGGGGAGAGTGAGAAATTCAGAGGAACAGAAGCTGGTGAAAGGGGCACAGTGGTATCATGTGCCTTTACATGGCTTGATGCAAACCCAGAGCAGTTAGTCTGTCAGCCAGTCCCCTCTCCCATCTGTCTGCTGCTATCTCTGCGGATAACTTGTACAACAGTGTGACTGTTATTTTTTAGAGATAACAGACTCAACAAACCCTTTCTGCAACCTGCAAATGTTTTTAAATATATCTGGAATTTGCAGACATCGGCATCATTTCAGGTCTCTCAACCACCTGCTGCACTGGCTCCTGTAATCAGCACTGTCACACCTGTCTTCGTTATCTATATGCCTTTGCTTTCTGAGCCCTTATGTCCTGGAGGGAAGGTGCAACTTTCCTTCCTAGCCCCTGCACAGAGCAGGCTACTATTCTTTAAGGGAGACAGATGGGAAGAGGACTGGAGGTTTTTGCTTTTTTTATATTTAAGAAAATGACAATTAGATTCTGATCAGCTTTAAGTTTTGGAACTGGCTTCCAGTCTTCCTACAATAGGGACCACCCGTGGTTTCTAAACATCGTCTGTAGGCCCCTTACAGGTTTCTGTTCTAGGGAAGGGTCAGGAGTGGATAATGTAGGGTAGAAGGTTGGGTGCACTTTTGACTTGCATTGTGTGTGTGTGTGTGTGTTTTAAGAAATTCTTTTTTCATAGAATGAGTTGTTAGAAATTCTAAAATCAATAAGCTCAATTGCATTGAAATTGTCAGTAGGACAAGCTTTAGCTCCTGAAGACAAAACCGGAAAGAGTTAACTGTCGATGGGAGCTGCAGCAGCCTGGGCTGTGTTTGCGGCCACCGGTTGTTTACAGTGCTGTCTTGTAAGAAACACTAATGCATAGGACTTGCTGTTTTGTGCAACACAGTTAGTAAAATGAGCCTTTTTTAAAGATGACAAACTCAGGGTTCCCATATAGCATTAGGTTTTTAGGCTTTAGGAATTCAGTGGAACTATGATAGAAATGGAATTGTGGTTTTCCAAACCTAACTCATGCTTTACAGATACAAATATAAACTAGCTGTTGTGAAATTCCAGACTGACCAGGTTGTCTGTGACTTGCTCAGCTACAGAAACACATGTCACAGCTGCCAGGAGGAGCACCAAGGTCCTTCTAGAGAAAGGCCTGTGAATGGTGCCAGTGCAGTCACTGTGACCTGCAGGCACTTGGTGGAAGGGTTCTCTCTGGGCCCTTGAGGGAGACAGGGGCTGCACACAATGGGGAGGATAGCTGGTAGGAAAGTATTAAATGGAGAAGACCAAGACATGAGCATAAAGATCTGGGAGGAGCGAGGTTCAGAGCCCCGTTGCTAGGGCTGGCCTTCTGGGTACACTTAGATGCTGTCTCTGAGGTTAAGGACAGACTTTTTAGTTTATGCCCAACACTTGTCTCAATCAATACAGGCGAGTTGGAATTGCATTAGAAACAATCTAAAATGGGGGGAGGGACTATTGAGTCACTTTTGAGAATTCAGGAATGTTCATCGTTAAATAACCATTTAACCCAATCCTGAAAGTATTTTTCATGACCATATATTTTTAAATACTTGTATGCACTTAGCAATTTCTTTGTATCCACTAGGAAAATATGTACTCTAGTCATAGTCTTTGCAAGTGTGAAAATTGCATTATGTTTTTAGCAGCACCTGTTTTTTAAAATTATTATTAAGTCTTATGTAGGTGTGGAGTCTGGAAAATATAGAAAAAGACTTTAAAACTGAAAACGATTTCTTAAACCACCACCTAGAGAAAACTACCGTTATCATTCTAGTATTGTTTCTCTACCTTTCTTCGGCTCTTAAAAATCTGGGTCAATTGTGAAATTCTGCCTTCTGCTCCTAGGCACACAGCTACCCACTCGGCCCAGAAGTCTCACCAGTGTGGTCTGTGTGAGAAGACGTTCAACCGGAAAGACCATCTGAAGAACCACCTCCAGACCCATAACCCCAACAAGGTGCCCTTCGTGTGTGAGCAGTGTGGGAAGAAGTACCACACCACGCTGGGCTACAAGCGGCACGTGGCCCTCCACAAGGCCAACAGCGGCGACCTCACCTGCGGGGTGTGCGCCCTGGTGCTCAGGAACACCGAGGTGCTGCTCGTCCATCTCAAGACCCACTCCGAAGACAAGCCCTACGCAAACAAGCAGAAGAAGCACCGGTGCGACCACTGCGATAGACTGTTCTACACCCGGAAAGACGTGCGGCGCCACATGGTGGTCCACACAGGCTGTAAGGACTTCCTGTGCCAGTTTTGTGCCCAGAGATTTGGGCGCAAAGACCACCTCACACGCCATACCAAGAAGACACACTTGCAGGAGCTGTTGAGAGAGAGTATGCAGACTGGAGATTTCATGAATCTCTTCCACACTCTCTCTCCTCAGTATCAGCTGAAGGCTGCTGCACTGGTTCCTTATGCTCTAGGAGCTGCTGTGCAGAATGGGCTCGCCGGCGGCCTGCCCCCTGAGGTGCACACTCTCAATCCCATGGAGCCACCCTGCCAGCCTGTACCACCGCTGCCAGAGCCTCTGATCCCCCTGGCTCCCATGGCGCCTCCCATGGCACCTCCCAACCCTCCCCCCCAGCCCCTCCAGGATCACAAGTACCCCACTGCTACCTCATACCCCCCACTTGCAAACCTGCCGCTCAAAGCGGATACTAAACCGTTTTGCAACATCAATTTGGTGGAGGAGGTGCCTCTGCAAGAGCCTCAGTCACCTCACAGGCTCAACCTGCCCAGAGAGCTGCCCATAGATGCTGTGAACATAACCATACCTGCCTCTCTGGAGATTTCCCCCCTGTTGGGCTTCTGGCAGCTGCCACCTCCTCCTCCCCAAAATGCCTTTGGGAATGGCGCCCTCGCTCTGGGGCCCGGGGAGCCCCTGCCCCACAGGCTCGGCTGCCTGGGGCAGCAGCAGCAAGAGCCCTCTCTGGCCATGAGTGCCATGGGCCTGGGCCAGCTCCACCTTCCGCCCCTCCCCCATGTGTTCCCAGCAGGCACTGGCACTGCCATCCTGCCTCATTTCCATCATGCATTCAGATAAGTGGCTTATAAAGCATACTTATTCTGGAAGAGGTTTTAAGGAGCATTTTAAGGTTTTAAGGAGCATTCTAAGGTTTTAAGGAGCATTTTAAAAGTTTTATGAAGCATTTTAAATGTCAGTTGTAATACAAGGAAAGATTTGGAAAGCAGGACTGGGAATATGGCTTAATCGGTTATGACTGGCTTGAGATAAGAGTTCTAGAACTGCATGCATCGTGCCAATCTGTCCTGAGTGTTCATGATTTGTTCACGCTTTGTACCAAATGTAATAGCAAGTATTCTTTAATGGAACTGCAACTGTTGTCATAACCGACATCCAGACGAGGGCTGCTATATATAGTTGTCAAATTGAGTTTAATCATAAGCCATGATCAAATCATGTTGGCTAAATAACTTTATGTAGCACAGCCTAAGGAGGGGACTATGGGAAGGTTTGAATTTCTCCAAAATGGGAGATTTTTTTTTTCTTTTTTCTTCTTTTTAAGTACAACAATAACCTTTATATTGCATATTATAAGTAGGCTTTGTATTTTTTCCCCATGATTTTTCTTTTAGTTGGATGTAGTGTGGTTATTATTGAATAGCCAACCTGTAGTTTTACAGAAACAATTTCTTGTGGAATAATAGGTGTTGCCATTTTAAACACACATTTTAAATGCAGTTTGAATATTTTCCACAAGATGCTACAATGTGAGATATCACTTCATTTATCTTAAAGACTAAACTGGTTGTCAAGTTGTCAGTTACATCTGACAGGAAAAAAAAATCACTGTGTAACCAGGTTAAGTAATAAAATCATCCAAATGTCAGTCAAAAATAGTAGTTTGCTGACTTTAATGTTGATTATATTTTAACGGGAATTTAAGAAATATTACTGGAATTTTTAAATATATATATTAAACAAGATTTTTTTTTCTTTGCTTTGTCTGGCTTAAAGTACTGCTTTGCTTAAGTATATTTTAATCACCAAAAAAAAGATGCATTTTAAAATTTATCATGTAATTCAATATTAGTTTTACTCAGAATAAGATTTTGCAATGTAACTGTAACTGTAATCTCAAATTTGTATCTAATGAGTTTTAAGAATATGAAACCTAACCTTTTTTTAAAAAAATTCTTTTGTCTTTTGTCTTTAGAGACACTCTATATGGAAATATATCTTACATATAATAAACACTGCAAATTCTGACTATGGCTTGTTTGATTTTTACTTACAGTTACACCACTTAATCATCCTGATCTAGACACAAAACATGAACATCTCAGTAGCTGGCTCCCTCATACCCCCTCCTGGCCATTACTCTCCCCCCCCAAAAAAACAAAACAAACAAAAAAACTAGAAGTCTGACCTACTAGAAACCAACTTTTTTGAGTAAAATTATGATTTAAAGTAGAAGCTTATGTGCTTCAGTAAAATTCACAACACTAAAAGTTTATTTCTGAAAATTATTGTTTGAAGTTCTGAATCCTTCTATATTAAGAATTTATTCCTGATATACTGGTCTAGGTCAGAATACTAGCTACTAAAGTTCAGGCTACCCTGGGCCAGTGTTACAGTGGTGTTTGCCATTACTTTCTAGCATGAATTAGAAATGTATTCCTTAGTGGGATTCCTTCATAAAGTATTCCCCACTCGGAAATCTGACACACTTACTTATTTGTGTTTGTTTTACCTCTAAACAAGGAGTGAGTAGGCAGAGAAAGGAACGCCTCAAGTCCCTTTGCCCATCAAAGAAACCTGGCAGCCAAATGGGAGCAACCTTGGCTCTTAGCCCTTACCAGTGGGGCCCATGGCAGCAAAGGGCCAAGGCATTTCAGGAAAGCTGCCTGGGGTGGGGCTGTCACTGTGGATCCGACTTGGTAGATTCTTAAACTACAGCTTAATCTGGGGGAGGAAATGAGACAAAGGGACATAGGTTACCCATCAGTGGGAATCCACTTTCTGGGATGTCTGAGTCCGCTCTCATATCCCCTCTTACCTCTGCGAAGGACGCAATCTCCCAGAGAAAGGAGAGAGAGGAGTGACTTACCTGGGCTACATCTGCCCCAGACGCATGGCCTAGTAGTCTTCAGTCAGTTCCAGGACATACACCTGACTTCCCTGAGCATAAAACATAGGATGTGATCCCCGAATACATATCCAACGTGTTTCAGATATTGTGTTTGCTGTCTTATAAGAGGGAGTAGTTTGGAGTTCTCCTACTTAAATTTAGACAGGAAAATGGCTTTTAATTCCTAATTACAATTCCCTAAATTTGGAGAAACAATAAAAATTATTAGATTAAGAAGCATGAGTTAAGTATAAATGACTCTACAAAAAGAATTATTAACCCCTAAGGCAACAAAAATAGTTGCAAGACCACCTCCCCACAGAGTTTAGCAACCGATGTTGACATGAACAGTTGGTGTCTGATTTGTCCGAGATAAATAAATGGTTTGACGCCTACAGTATCCTTCCCACTGGGTGGGAAGGTTATTGTAACCTGTTCCACTGCGGTGTTTTCCCAAAGCCAACTGTGTGTGCTGGTGCTGGAGACAGTTCCACTCGGCATACAGATGGACACTTCAAACAGGAGTTGTTCCTTTTTATAATTTCATGCTTATTAGAAGAAAATATCACAGAGGGGATTTCGTGTGTAGAATTAAGCTGGGTAAAAATGATTTTCCTAGTAAGTAATGCTAGACTCCATAGACTGTTTTACTAAAAATTTCTAATACCAAAGCAATGTTTTTAAAAAAGACTATTCAATATCCCATAAGAAAAACAAACAAACACGCTGCTGCAAGTGAATCTTCGAATCAAGCATTATCATACAGATGAATGCCTTGTTTAATGATTTGGTTTTGAATATTTTGAAGGGAGGAAGTAAGAAAATTTGACACTAGTTTTACATGTCCTACATGATGTCTCGAGAGGAATCAGGCGTTGAAGCAGACATCTGCTCCTTCCTTTCAGGTGGCATTGTTAGGCTCACAGCTGTCCAGGCTGATGAGCTCTAGGGAACCTGTCTAAATGCAGAAAGAAAAGGCATTTACTAAAACGTGGTTGTTGTCACACTGAGAATGTTAAATACTTCATGTAAGCTTCTCAACATGTTTAAATGTTTCCAACAAACAATTCATAAAATGAAAAATTTCCCTAACTTCATACCAATTCTACTCCATGTCAATCTCAGGAACTGTGCTTCTAGGGGGGCAATGTGTTTAGAAAAAGGGACCGGGCGGTAGCCTTCCAGGTCAAAACGAAGAACCCATTCCCCTTTCCTATTAAGTCAACAATCAAATGGAGTGCCGAAACCAGTTTGGCTCCAGTGGTAGAGCATCGGTCTGCGGACTGAAAGGTCCCAGGTTCGATTCCGGTCAAGGGCATGTACATTGGTTGCGGGCACATCCCAGGTAAGGGATGTGCAAGAGGCAGCTGGTCAATGTTTCTCTCTCATCGACATTTCTAGCTCTCTATCTCTCTTCCTTCCTCTCTATAAAAAATCAAATAAAATATATTTTTTTAAAAATTAAATAAATGGAGTATCCTTTTCCAACTCGAAGTTTAACAAAAAAGTGTCTAGAGCTTATTTTATTAACCTCGCCTCACCCATATTTCTCTTGGGTTTGCCTGCTAGGGGGTTCTGCCCTTAAGGGCTCATTCATTCCCTGTACCTGGCATGTGAGATGATCACCAACTCCTGGATTAGATGTGTTTGTTCTTACCTGGCCTCTAGGGGTTAATCTTTTTTAGAAGATTTAGTAAATCCTTGTTTGAGTTTTGATCCAGAAGCAGGGTCCGACACTAATCCTTTACAGACATAAACAGATTTGTTATTATGTAAAAGCAAACAGAAAGGAAGGAAGGAAGGAAGGGAGGGAGGGAGGGAGGGAGGGAGGGAGGGAGGGAGGGAGGGAGGGAGGGAGGGAGGGAGAGAGAGAAAGAAAGAAAGAGAGAAAGAGAGAAAGAGAGAAAGAGAGAAAGAGAGAAAGAGAGAAAGAGAGAAAGAGAGAAAGAAAGAAAGAAAGAAAGAAAGAAAGAAAGAAAGAAAGAAAGAAAGAAAGAAAGAAAGAAAGAAAGAAAGAAAAAGGAATGATTGTGAAATCCTCCCATTGGATCAAAGTCTCTATCCCGTTTTGTTTTCTTCTGTAGCTATAGACAAATACTCAGTCTCTATCCTGGGCCAGATAATAAGGAAAACCAGGGACTGTCCCAGGATAGTCTCTTTCTCCCCTAGCCCTCCACTTACCCATGGATGGGCTCTTTGGACTGCCACCTCAGGTGGCAACCTGACTCTCAATACCTCTCTACACCACTGCTCTGAGTCTCAGAATGGACCCCGAGCAGTCCATGCCCTCACAATTCTTTACCTGCTCTCATGCCAGTCTTATGGAAGCATGAGGTGCCTATCCCAACCCTGGTTTTTTCCATAGCGGTGGACTTGCTTCACAAACAGGACTATTTTCCTTTGGGTCTAGCAGCTCTGTTAGGTATGCAGAGGTAGGAGTTTATGGTTACAGGCATACCATAGTCTGTCTTAGACCACATGGTATGGGGCAGGATTCTCAGAGAAAACATTTTTTGTAAAAAGGAATAAGCCCCCTCTGTCTACAGGCCTGGAGTGTTTTATGAAGGGGGAGTAACCAAACAACCCAAGCAAGGAAACTGTGAATCAAACTATCAAAGGACTCAGAAGATGTAGGAATAGAAAGAGCTTTAGTGTTCATTTTACCCAAAGATCTGCAAGTTTTACTCCTTCCAATGGATCTGCAGGGACTCTCTGACACTCGCTGCATTTGCTAAGCAATGAAGCTATTTAAGGAGGGGGTGGTGATGCAGGGAAGATGCTTGACTTGATCAAACCCACTGGGTCCAGAAAAAAAGCAGAGCCCACCCAGCAAAGTTACAAAATGCAAATCACTAAATACATGAAGCAGCACAGCTCTGGGGCCCAGAACTACATTTCATGGTGGTCTCAGGCTCCCTGTATAAAGGCACTGGAGAAGCTGATGCTCAGAGGTGCCTTCCAGCAAATCAGTCGTTCTTACATCAAAACCCTTGAGAAAGCAGCCACCAGTAGATACTTGCTGACTAGGCTATCAACTCATTTCCCATCTGAAGTTTAGACTCTGTGGAACAAAGGAAGAGCTAGACCATTTTCTAAAACAATTATACATATATATATATATATATATATATATATATATATATATATATATACACAACAGCCTATATAATAAGAGAGGAATATGCTAATTATCCATTACGCTGTGTAAAGACTGACCACATAATAACCAGATCACAGATCAGCAGGAGGGTGGTCAGTGAGCTACAAGTGGGCAGTGGAGAGCTACAGGAGGGGGCAGGCAGCAAGCTATGAGGATGGGGGGAGCTACAGGAGGGCAGCAGTGAGCTACAGTGTACAGATTCGTGCGCAGGGCTACTAGAATAATATATATTTTACTAACTCCTTAGTGAATATATATTTTTTACCTAGTTTTCCCAAAGCAGACAAAGATTTGGTTGGCTCTACTATTTCTATTGAATTATTTGTGCAAATTGCTTTACCTCTCTCATCTATAAACTAGGGATATGAACAATACATTTATCCTCTTTTAAGGATTAAATGAGGATTAATATACAAAGTGCCTAGAAGAGGGAAGAATTAAGTGTGGCCTATTGTCCATGAAGAAGGGAGTTATTTAGTATAGCAAAGAAGTAGACACAATTGAGCTGCTCACCACAGGAAAACAGCTAAATAAATTACACAGTATAATTGCGATGTGATACTCTTGTTTTTAAAGAAATTCTTCTCTTCACTTATTTATTTATGGTCTTATGTTCTGTTTAATATATAGTTTGGTTCTGGACATTTTAAATGTTTGGCATAGAAGAGGCTATGTTGGAATATTTAAGGCTTCATAAATCTTCATCCGATTAGTGGTTAACTTTTTGTGATACAAAAAGTTTCAGACAAATATAAAAGAATAAAATCTGTCTCAGGCTAGTAGTTAACAGTTGTGATCAAGAAGCTTTCAGTTTTATTTTACAAAATTTGCTCATTTCTAACATGAGAAATAAACTTATTTTAATATAATCCTTTTTCACACTTTAAAAATCAGCAATAGTGTTATGTATTTATAGGCAGCTTTTAACAATCCTGTCATATTTGTACTAACCCAAATGATTCACAGTGACAAAACATTTTAGTAACTTGATCACAAAACCATATGGACAATATGAATTTTAATATTATAAATACTGTTTTATAAAGATAGAATTTATTCTGCACAGGGTAAAAAGAATGTACTATTTAGGTTTCAAGTTTGAATTATCAATATGCTACTACAATTTTGTATATCAGAATCTAAGTGTTACAGGCACAAAAAAGCATATTGCTAGCCAAATGAACAAAGTTTAGCTGAATCTCTCTCACATGCAAATCAAATAAATTTAAAATCTTAGAAGAAAAGAAATTCTTTTGTCATAGGGAAATGTTCAAAATTTGTTAGTGAAAAAAAAATCAGAATGTATATACATGGACTATGATCCTATAATAATTTTGATAAAAGGAAAACAGAAAAAAAAAAATGAAAACTTATAGATGTTAACAATGGTCAGTATGTCAGAGTGTGCAATTTTGGATGATTTTTTTTCTTCATACTGTTCCTCCATTTTCCAATATTTTTTACAGTAAGCATTAATATTTAACATGATAATTTTTTAAAATGCTCTTTCTCAAAAGAAATTTTTGCATGCTAACTTAAGTGGCTAAAAATAAAAAGTCCCTAGGTCACCCAAACTGCCTAACTTACAGTGGCAGCCTGGATCACACACAGCCTGGACGCCTGACCCCGCAATTACAGCCCTCCTTGTACTAGGGCCAGCCTTCCACCCCAATTTTAATTTCTATTCACATCTCTACTCTACTCTATGCTTTGATGGGCCAGTTGTTTCCACAGTTTGTCCTCTGCATTCTCATTTTCATCTCTTTGTTCAATCTTTTTGCAACTTTTCCCCACTAGTAAAAATCTAGCTCATCCTGAAGGCTCCTCTTAAGGCTGCCACCTCCACGGACTTCCTCCCTCAGACGCAGTCTCCTCCATAAACCCTCCTGGGCAAAATTGATCTTGATCTTGCATTTCCTCAGGAGCTTTGTATCCCATTGTTAAGTGTTAGTTTATATCCCACTGTTAAATATTGACTGCTACCCCTCTAGACTTTTAAGAACCCACAGACACAGGAAACAACCATGCATACTAATTATGTGTTCAATGAATCTTCTTAAACATCCCTGGCATGTGTACCAACTTCATATAACATCACATGCTCCTTTGTATTAGATTCTCCTGCACACGAATATCTTCTCATAAGACTCTAGGATGGATAAGGATTAAGACTTACACACACATATCTCCCGACTGTGAATTTAGAACAAAATGCTATACATGGGAGATACCAAATACATATTTACTCAAGAGAGTTGAAGAATGAAAACCAAAGTTTTAAGGGATTAACTACAAGCTAGATGAAAAGATAATAGGATTTATGTGGAAGGCAAGTGACAACAAGTGGCCTAAATGATTGATTGGCAATCTAGATATAGCAAAGCTCAACAACAATTTTTAAAAGACCCTCATATTACAAATAGATGAATACTGACCAGAACAAATACAATGGATAGTAGATGTGAATCTGATTCACACACAGGTCTGTTGACATCAGCAAAGGCACTCAGTGCTTTTCTCCAAGACTTAAACATTTTTGAGAATCCACCCCACTCTACCCGTCAATATACTCCTGCTTCCTTTCCAGAAGCTCTGAATGCATGCGAGGCCATGGGAAAAAAAGGGCTAGAAACATCGATGAGAGAGAAACATCGACCAGCTGCCTCTTGCACACTCCCTACTGGGGATGTGCCCGCAACCCAGGTACATGCCCTTGACCGAAATCGAACCTGGGACCTTTCAGTCTGCAGACCGATGCTCTACCACTGAGCCAAGCCGGTTTTGGCTGAAAAGGCGTCTCAAGTCCACCTATCTTTGGCACAGGTAAAAAAAATCAAACATTATTGCAAACTGTTCAAACCATTGCCTGTTGTTCAAGTTAAAATTCTGAATACACAATCTCTGGCCCGTGCACCCATATTAACAAATTCACCCTGATCCAATCATTCTCATGTGTATTCCTGAGGATTACATACACTACTAAAAAAGAAACATGCAAACTGACCATACCTCCGCTATGCCCACAAGCCATGCCCACCAGCCAATCAGGAGCAGGTATTCAAATTAATCCAACCAAGATGGCTATGGCCACAGAGCAAGCATAAGGCTTGGGTTTCTCTGGCAATAGGGGAAGCTAAGCTTCCCGCACACTCTGGCTGGCCTTGGCCTCCACCCAAGGCTATAAAATTTCAATTATAGAAGATAAATAAATCTCAACAAAAATGGCTATAGCCACGGAGTAAGCAGGAGGTTTGAGTTTCCCCGGGATGGAGAAGGCCAAGCTTCCTTCCCCCCACCCCCTTGGCCTGCCCTGGCCTCCACTCAAGGCTACAAAATTTCAATTATAGAAGATAAATAAATCCCAGATACAAGGGCCCCCGCTTGGGTTGCCACAGAAGGGGAAGGGGGGTAAATAGCTGGCCTGAAAACCACCACAGGCCCCTCACCCAGGCCAAGAGAACCCACACTCTGATCCGAGACACCCTTCAGGGCAAACCAGCCAGTCCCCACCCATGCACCAGGCTTCTATCCTATCTAATAAAGCAGTAATATGCAAAGTCTTAGGGCAGGGATAAGAAATGCAAAATGCTTTCTCATAAAGCTAATTAACATGACAATTATATACATAGGCCAATAACTTAAGAGGGAAATTACAGAATCAAGATATCAACATTTTACCATACATTTCATTCAAAAAGTATTTGTTGAGCATCTCACATATGCCATGAACAATTCTAACAGTTAGAGATGTAGCAGTATAAAAAAAATAGACAGATCCCTATCTTCAGAGGAAATTGTGGAGAAATTAATTTTAAATGTAGAGGTTGAGGGGCCTCATTTGAGGATGACACTCAGCAAAAAACCACAGGGAGTGAGAGGTGAACAGTGCAGATTAGTGAGGGTGGGTTTGGGTTTTCAGCACAAGGAACGGCCAGTGCAAAGGCGTGGACTGGGAATGTGCAGGCCTGTGAGCTCAAGGAACACCACAGAAGCCACAGGGACTAGAGCCACAGGAAATGATGGTGGTGAGGGCAGGTGGTGGCAGAGAACCCAGTGTGGGCCATGTTAAAAACTCTGCCTTTTCCTTAGCAATACCACAATGGCTATAAAACACCATTACCTAGTGAAAAGCAAATGCAATTCCATTTTGCTTACATCTACTGGCCTACCAATCTATTCCCTAATGTAGCAAATGGTGTCTTTATAATGTTCTTCTTACTGTACTGAGACACAGGACTTCTGAGTTCTCACTTAGGCATTCTGCTGATTTTTTAAAAATTACTTAGTTCAAGCAAGGAAACACTTTTCTTATTTTCAGCACTGCACCTGACATGCTGTCCTCTCCTGTTTCCAAACCTCTTTCCAAGTTTACTAGACTAGGGAATAGAGGCCCGAGACTCTGTTGCTGTACTTGGACTCGACTTTGCATGTTGTCAGAGTTCCCTAATCCTGATGAATTAAGAAATATTCCCTCTTGGCAAATAAGGTTTGACCTCAAACTCAAAGGAGTGCTTTTTACTGGAAAGGGAACATTATAACATATTCTTGGAAAAAATAAGAAAACCATCCATAATATACAGAAACTGCCTTTTCTGAAGGACATTAATCATTATACTTAAAAAAAAAAAAAAAGCTTATTAGTGCAAGTTTTACCAACGAATATATACATAATTTGATATGTTTGTGTGCGTGTGTGTATGGGGGTGGGTGGGTGTGTGTGAACACTAAAATCTAACGCATTATTAAATTTTCACAAATCAGGAAAAAACTACTGACTTGGATTTACGGGGCTAGGGGGAAATTTTTAAATATTCATTCAATTCTTAGCCCATGGTAAGCAACTCATGAGGAATTTAAAAACTAACAATAAACTTTCCTGTGCTGTGTATGAACTATGAGACTGGCATTTCTGACTCTGGTTCTTATTATTACCTGCAAAATTAGTTGCCTGGCCAGAGATGCCATCTGGCCATGAATGGGTTCACCTTGCCTTCACAGTGCATGCTGATCATTAATATAGAAGAATGCCACATTTATAATGCAGCTCAACGGAGAGAGACCGCAGGAGAGATTTAACCCAGCTCCGCTGCTACCAGTTGTGTGCTTGAACAAATAACCTGCCTCCCAGCTTCCGAAGAGGAAAACACTGGGAAGACTGTTGTGAGAATTAAATGAAATGGGTCTAGCACGTAAGTCAGTACTGCAGTGGGGCTATGGCTCTCTGTTACTCTGCAGACATTTTGTTCTAGGCAGGAAACTCTTCCCTTCTTCCCCCCAACCCCCCCGCCCAGCTTTTTTTGACTATCACTGAATGGGATATGATATGAGCTCAAGGTGCACGAAGTGAAGATTTGATTATGAACATATTGTGAATTGATCACCACAATAAGTTAATTAACATCCATCACCTCACCTAAGTTAGCTGCTGTGTGTGAGGTGGTGAGAACATTTAAGATTTGCTCTCTTGGCAACTTCCAATTAAGTGATACAGTATGGTGAACTCTAGTACACGGTTTCTATATTCATCTTATAACTGCAATATGGTATCCTTCGACCAACATCTCCCCATTCTCCCACCCCACCCCTATCCCTGGCGACCATTATGAGGTTCTCTAGATTTGAGTTTGACTTGGCATAATATCCTCAATGCCCATCCATGTTGTCCCAGATGGCAGGACCTCCTTCTTTTTTATGGCTGAGTAGTACTTCATTGTGTAGATTATGCACCCAGTCTTTATCTATTCATTCCTCAATAGGTTGTTACTGTATCTTGGCTATTTGAAAAGTGCTGTAATGAACATGGGAGTAACAGATCTCTCTCTGAGATTGTTTTCTCTTCTTTTCATCACATCTGATAAGCTGTTACCTCCCATTCTTCATCTCTTCTTAATTTTAATAGCCAGGGAATGATGGTTCTAGACCCTGCTGCTGTAATCGGATCTGACTCTAGATGTTGTCAGAGTTACTCAAACCTGATAAATTAGGAATTGTGCCCTCTCAGCAAATAAGCTTTCCCCCCAAATAAACCCATGTGTTTTTATATCCAAACGCAACACTGGATATCACAGCTTTTGCCAGCAGCCCACAAACCCCAAAGCCCACGGTGGTGGCCTCTGACGCTGGCACATGATGGTTGAGATGCTCACTCTGACTTACCTGGCTTGGCCGGGGCCCCTTTCGTGGCCTCAAGGGCCCTGTTCTGCAACAGAGCTCCCACGGCACTGGTGACAGTCGGTTCTTTTCTTGGACTTGTCTGACCCATTCCCTACAGAGAGAGGAGGCAGATCTATAACCTCAGGCAGCACACAGGAGGAAAGCTTTCCACTCAGCCACCTGGGACCGGAGTCACCCTGGGGCCAGCTGCACCCAGGGATGGGGGCACGTGCTCCCTGCGCCTTAGGTGGCCTGGATCCTAACCTCCCTGCTGGTGCTCAGAGCCATGACAGGTTGCAGGAGCTTCCATTCCATAATAGCACGTTTGGGGGGATTTCGAAGTTAATCCTGTGAAATGAGTTGTATGGAGACAGAGGACATTGCTTCATGTCAGTAAGGATAGTAATGGAACATTTCAGCTTTTCATTACACTTGAAGATGCTTTTGTTTTTAAATACATGACCAGAGAAGAAAAACAGACATTGGCAGGCAGCGAATGTTTTAAACATGGAATCCAGCATCCCTGCCCCACAGCCCTCCCCGCTGAGTTGCAGGAGCAGAAGAGGCACATGAATGCAGAGTAAGGACCTAAAAGGTTCCTCGGTGGAGCCTTGCTACCCCCTGACTGATCCCCCCAACATTGCCATGGAAACAACATAAAGATAACCTGTTTGTCAAGTGAGAATTCTCACTTGGGCAAGGCTAGCTCTGAGATTATAGCCGGCAATTCATCCCCATCGAAACAAACAGATCTATTTTCAGAGGGTATAGCACTTTTGTAAAATTGATTTTATTTAAAATAGAAACACATTTCAGCTGTGCTGTTCACAGCCCTTCGGAACGGAGCGGGCCCCTCCCTTTCTGCCCCACTTCTGAATGCACTTCCCCCCTGAGGCAGGCCCCAGCGTGGCGGAGCTGGCTGGCGGGGAAACAAGCCCTGCTGTTCAGACACACTCACAGCGAGTTGACTCAGAAAGCAAGCAGTTTGTCTTCTGTGCTCCCAATCACCACTTAGCTCTGGAAAACAAGGCGGGGACCAGGGCCAAGTCCCTGGTTCCAGGCCGGACGGCCAGCTGGCCTCCTTCAGGAATAAAAAGCACTTCCGTTGCTGCTTCCCAGAGCTCCCTTTGGCCCCACTAAACCCCGACTCACTTCGGGAACTGGCCAGAAGAACCATTCGAAGAAATGTACTCCACCCTTTGTGCTTGAGAAAGAGGAGGTAGAGTTATACTGAGAGAACTCTTCCAAAACTAAGTTGAATTCAAGCCAGAGCAGTCATATCCCCTCAAAATCAGGGTGACTTTTCCACCCACAGAAAGGGTCAGTGGGGTGGGGTAACAGGGAATGAAGAAAGCCAGGGACCCCTACAGGAAGGTGCTTCGCTTTATTATCTATAATCCTCCCGACAACCCGGCAAGGTACAGATGATAGTGAGAATTTAAGTAACTTGACCACATTTGCCTGCAGAGTCAATTACAGGGCTGAGATTCAAACCCTGGCTGCTGATTGCAGAATCTGGGCTCTTTCTTCATTGCACTGTCTCCCATACTATTTCAGGGGCAAAGATTGAATCTCTCCAACTATATTTACCATAACCACCCTGCCTGCTGCTCTACCAACACACACATCCCCTCCCTCCTGTGTCCCTTTAACTAGATGTGCAGTGTTATTATCTGCCCAGGCTTTAGAGCTGAAAACCTTCTTGTCCACAATGACCTTTTCCCCCACTATATCCAACCGTCTTCTCAGTCCCATCAGTTATTTCTTAAAATTTCCCCCATCCTCCATTAGTCCTCTCATTCCAGCTTCCATGTCACTTCAGTCATGGCCCACAGAGTGACACATGGGCTGATCACAGACAAGTAGACAGAAGGCCCAGAAAGTCTGGGAGAAGAGAAAGCAGGAGCATCATGGGAAGAGGTGACAGGACAAGAAAAGAGAACTTCCTGGGCCCCTGAGGGCCTTATAATCCCTGCTGCCAGGCTCTCGGGCTGGCAGGCCTTGGCCTTTAGGGCCCCTCTCCATGCAATCCCCCTTTCCCTCCTCTCTGAACCAGCTTGTCTCCAGGCCCTTCTAGATCCGACGCCTGCCTGGCCTGGTCTATCCTGCCTCTCTCTCAGTGGCACCTTTAACACCCTGGGCTCCTCAGGCCACAAGCTGGACCCGAGAGGAAAAATGTCTGCAACTCTTTGAAGCTGTCCCTGGATCCCAGTGCCCTCTTCCTCAGTGCCAAGTCCTTACAGATGTCAGCTACCACCCTGCCTACAGCATTGCTTTCTAGTCCTCTCCCTCCCAGGCAGCCAGCACCCAGCAGTGCCCAGGTCAGAGGAGATGTTCAGGACTGCCAAATGCATGTGCAGATGGAGGGGGCCCACAGCGGGAGTGAGTTGTGGCTGGAGAGGGCCCCATCCCCATGAGGGACTGCATTTCGTGGAAATCTTTCTAAACATATTTCCTACTCCCAAGTCTTCAGACCAATTTCATCTTTTCTTGATGTCTGAACCATGTTTACTAGTACAACAAACAGTTTTCATGCTCCACGGTAAGCGATGTTCCTGCTGGCTCCGGTTCTGTCTGTTTCTATCCATCTATTGTTCCCTGTTGTCATCTTATTTGTATCTATTTATAACAATTGCTCCCATTTTTCTTATTTGCTGATTCTGTGGCTTTTAAAACACCTGCCTCTACAGAGCGAAAGGCACGGCCTAGGGACCCATCCCCTGTGGCGGCTTCCCCCATGCAGGCCAGGTTCATTTGAGGGTCACAACTCTATTCAGGGTGGTGAAGGCTGGTAACCACCGTTGGACACAGAGCCTTACTATAATTCTACAGAAATACCACTTATATATTCAAGACTTCATTCTAAGAAGCTGCAAACACTATGGAAATATTTTGTTCCTATAGCACCTGGAGGACCGTCCCGGTGATAAGCTGGGAAGGCAGAAGGAACCTGCTCCCGTGACATGGGTGACTGTGACTGGCTATGGTGATGCTCACACTTCTTAGGATGGGTAGCAGGTTCCCCACCAGACCACCTGCTGGCCCCAGGCCTGCGAGGGCACCTGGAGAGAGGCTTACCTGCACTTTGGACTCCAGTTTGGCTGCATCAAAGACTCGGCGAGAAGGCTGTTCCTTGCAGAAATTAATATGCCGGTTGGCTGCATTTTCATTAAACCTCCTCAGACAATACGGGCATTGAATGTAATCTGAATGTAAGGATAACAACAAAAGGCAATTAGCATTTCAAAAACAACTCCGAAATGAACTATAGGGAAGGAAATAAACAGGATATGGCCCCTGCTCCATCATGGAAGAAAAAGATCCTGGAGCCCACTGAGGAGATTGCCAATTCCAGTGGGAGGCATGCAAAAGCTCAAATGAAGGACAGTGGAGGGGACTATTCTACTTGAGCAATTACTTCCATGAAGAGTGTTCCCTTGAAATGTTTACATGAACTATATACTTAGGAACTTCCCAATTCAATGGATTATTTAGTGGATCTTCAATCAAAAAGTAGTCATGGAATCATAGAATGTTAGCATTGGTGATTTGAAAGGGCATAAAAGCTCAGGTTGTGGTACTGGGTGTGACAGAAACACATACGTGAGTTTATAGGGCCACAGAGGGAGATAGGAATGTGGGCTTTGGGATGGGGTTTGAAGTCAGTGTCACTGGTAGAAAGACACTGGTCTGCAGTGGGAGGTGTTTTCACTGAACTCCAAAGTGAGGAAGAAAATAATAGTTTCAAGAAGAAGATAGTAAAATGAAAAAAGGGTGGGGATTCAGAAAAAAAAAAAAAGGAGGGGTGACCAGAAAGTGGCTCTGGAAACAGCTTCAACTTTTAGTGTTAGACTGTCCCAGACAAGTGGATAGGGAGAGGAGGGATAAATGGTGATGGTGAACACATAGGATAACATACAGATGATATATTATAGAATTGTACACCTGAAACCTACATAATTTTATTAACCAATGCCACATTGAATAAATTCAATAAGAAAAGAAGAGGAGGAAGAGGAGGAAGAAGGAAAAGGAAGAGAAAGAAGAGGAGTAGGAGAAGGAGGTAGATGGAAGAGGAGGAGGAGGAGGAAGCTCTGTGGCACTAAGTTTTCTGGATACCCAGTCATCAGAACCTGGCTCTCATTTGCAGTTATTAGACAAGGAGAGAAATAAGAAGTGAGAAAGATCCAAGGTCTTCTTAGAGTGTGGAGATGCTCATAGCAAAGCCAGATTGGAGTCTATCCCTCCCTAGAGCAAGCAGAGAGAGATGCTGGGTTTTATTGCAGGTACCTTTCCCTAAGGCAGTGTTTCCCAAAGTGTGGTACACATACCCCCAGGGGTATGGGAAGAGTTTGATGGTTGTACCGGAGTTTGGTGGAGATGTGCACTGTACCGTGCTTAGCTGCACCTAATTCTACGTTCTCATGAATATGAGGGGTACTCAGCATTATGAAAATTATAGAAGGGGTACACATATGTCAAAAGTCTGGGAAACACTGCCCTAAGGGAAGATAAAATGGATATAAGCAACATGAGAGAAAGTTTCTCCCCCTGCCCCTCGGACTCCCCGGAAGGATCTGAGATAGCACCAACCTTGAGCTCTACGTGGAGGTTTGGGTTGGTCAAAATTCCTACATGTGGGGAGGGATAATTAAGACAGTGATGTCTTCAAAGTTAGGAATCTTTGAAGGCAACTTCTAAAGCATTTGGGGAGCTATTTTAACAAATCATTTCCAAAAGTGAATACTCATAAAATATAAAAACTCAAAGAAATTAAAAGGAAGTAAAACATTAGCACTTATCCTAACCTTTTATTTCACACCCTGGAAGATTCATTCAATAGATATAGAATACATATTCTGTGCCAGGTGATATGGTGTCTGCGTAATCAAGGACTAGGCATTCCACTATAGAAACAAAGCTTTCCCACAGTGATAAATTCCTTGAAAAAAATAAAATAGGGCAGCATTGGGAAATGATGAAGGTTCTGACACCTGCCCGGCTGGTTCCGGCCCCAGCTCTTCACCTGCTATGTGTGTGAACTTCAGCAAGTTACTCAACCTCGTTAAGCTTCAATTTCTCCAGGACCTACATATCGCCTCCTCCATCGGGTCGTTGTGAAAGGTAACTAAAATATAATCGACACGAGGACTCTGCATAGTGGGCGCAGTAGAACTTACCATTACTCTAAAGAAACAGGCCCAGCAAGGTTGTGTTTCCAACTACCCGACAAGAGTGAAACTGCTTAGAAAAAGTAAAATACCAAGTGCCATTGTTATGCAGAACTCACACTGGTGTAGAGAACCATCTGGAGCTCAGCTCTTGTTTCTTCAGTTTTAGCAGCTGGGAAGTCAAAGCTTCTATCAGAAATGCTGCTACCATAGCCCCGGCTGAGTTCAGGCAAAGACAATGATTATGACGACGACTGATTCCTCAATCCCACTTGTTCACTCATTCATTGCTGCCCTTGTGTGTGTTTGGCACTAGATGCCACCACAGAGACAGTACAGTTTGTATTTTGTGGCCAACAAAACCTCAGATAGGACTAGAGGACGAGGCAAAGAAGCAGACCATTGCCATTCCATGTGGTAAGCTGTGGACGGAGGCAGCTCGGGGTCCTCCAGGAGCCCACAGCTGGAACATGAAGCCCTGGCTTAGGGGGCAGAGAAAGGGAACTTCAGCCACTCTGAGAACGGGAACGTACTTTTCAGCAACAATAATCTTGACACAGTATGACTGAGCTACATGCTCTTCTCTCAGCCTGAATCACCTCTTCCTCTACGGACCACAATGACATAATAGTCCCTATGGACTGTTTCTCTCCATAGATGATAGTTTTAAAAGTCTGACTACAAAGGGACTCTTATGAGGACTCTGGGGAGGATGGTCACATCTCATTAAAAAGAAGTGAAAGTAGAAAAGCATGCATCATTTAAAAATGCAAGCTTGGTGGGGGGAGGATTGGGGGAAAGGGATATATGTAATACTTTCAACAATAAAGATGTTTTTTAAAAGCAAGCATTTTGTTAATTTCTACTGAACATCTATATAGACATGGGCAATTTATTAATTGCCCATGTATATATAGCCCTGCAACAATGGTGACCAAATGTCCCAGGCCTCACAGAAAATCCCAATTATAAATATTCAAAATCATTGTTCCCTTAAACTCTTATGACATCCCAGAAAGCTGAATGATTGCTGGACTCACTTATCTCAGTAAGAATTAGAATAAATATATACATGTCACAAAAACTGAGTCATGAAATATGGAATCATGCTGAAAAAAAGAAAATTAATTGCACACTCGTACATGTGGGCAATCCTATATAATGAAAGCATAGTATGCAAATTATCCCCTCGACTCAAAGTTAATCTGGGAGTTTGACCAGGGGGTAGGGCCGGCCAGGGGAAGGGAGGGAGGCCCAGGCCAGAAGCTGGAAGCTGCTAGGGAGCCTACCAGTGCACGAATTTTGTGCACTGAGCCTGTAGGACTACATATAACTCTAGTTATGGCCTATACTTTTTCTCCTATTTAAGCCTGAGAATATATGGACTGGCATAACAATCAATATAACTGAATAATTAAAATATGCTATTGAATATAATCATTTTGTTTGGTGCATGTAATTATAATAAGGCCACAAGAATTTAATTATAATACCATATATTAGCATGAAACTGAAAAGGGCAGAGAAATAAACTGCATGTTTGCTTAGACCTTACAAAGAGAATGGATTATTTAAAAACAACAATAATCCTCACATTTTAAATTCAATTTGAAAATTACAGAAATTCACATGGTTTCATCTGACATAGTTCACTTATTCAACTAAAGAACTATAAGTAGTTGTTTAACCCTGTAGCTTCTGCTATTAAAATAAAAGTAGTATATCTCATAAAAGATATTTCCTTATATGAAGCTTGTGGTCAAAATATTATCAAAATCACAGCCATAGCTCTTTCTACTGAACATCTTAGACACATAATATTCTAAATACATTTTCATTAATATACAACAAGAGTGAAGCACTTACTAAAATTATCTGGTAAAGATGTTCACTTTACATTTTCAGATAATTTTTATAGCATAATTACACAGTGTTGTTTTTTAATTGTTGTTGTTGAAAGTATTACGTATGTCCCCCCGACCATTGACCCCTTCTTGCCCACCCCTAACCCCACCCCAGGCCTTCACCACACTATATACAGTGGGTTTTTAACTTTTAAAAACAAACTTTGAGAAATAATATACATGCAATAAAATGCACTTATTTTAAATGTACAGTTCAGTGAGTTCTGAAAAATATATACACTTGTATAACTACTATCCCAATTAAATACAGAACAATTCCATCACATGAGAAAGTTCCCTCATGTCCTTTCAGTCAATATTCCCCCAAGTCCAGTCTCAAGCAACCAAAGATCTATGTTCAACACTGAAGATGCCATAATCTATATCTATATCTATATCTATATCTATATCTATATCTATATCTATATCTATATCTATATCTATATCTATATCTATATATAAAAGCCTAAGTGACTGAATGACCAGTTGCTTTGATGCACAAATACAGGAGCTGCTCAATACAGAGCTGCCCCTTGGTGGTCAGTACACTCCCACAGCAGGAGCACCACTCAGCTGACTGATGGGCACCAGATGCATAGTTCATGGCTGGCTACCTCCGCCCGAGACTGCAGTGGAGTGACAGCAATCCTACTGAGTGGTTGGGGTGGCAGGCACAGTGGGGTTGGGATGAGCAGGAGCAACAGGCAGGAGTGACAGGCAGTGTCGGACTGCTGGTTTCTGCCTGATCCCTGCAGGCTATGCCAAGGGACCCCACCAGCACATGAATCCGTGCACTGGGCCTCTAGTTTCATATAATAGGACATCCACGATGTTGCATGTATAGTGGCAAACTATTCTTACTGCTGAACTGTGTTCCATTTTGTAAATATTCCACAATTTGTTTATCTATTCCCTTGTTGATGAATATTTTCAGTTGTTTCCAGTTTATGCTATATAAGAATATGATGAACATGTATTTGTTAAGGACATGTTTTCAGATTTTTTCATAAGTAGCTAGGATTGGAGTTGCTGTAGAGTTACACCTATGCTTAAGAAAATAACACTACAAAGTGGCTGTACTATTTTATACTCCCATCAGCAGCGTGTGTGACTTTTAGTTATTCCACATCTAGCCATTACTTTTTTGTTGGTCTTAACTATTCAAGTGATATGTAGTGGTATTTCATTGTGGCTTTAATTTGCATTTTCTGATTAAAATAATATTGAATATCTGTTTATATAATTATTGTTCATTATTTTTTGACACATAGGTTCAAATACACTTCTTGCCCTTTCTCACTTGGATTGTTTGTCTTATTATTGAGTTATGGGTTATCTATATATTCTCTTTTTAAAAAATAAATCTTTATTGTTCAGATTATTGCAATTATTCCTCTTCCTCCCACCCACCCCATAGCTCCCCTCAACCCAGCTCCCACCCCACCCTCTGCCCTTACTCCCTGCCTATTGTCCTCATTCATAGGTATATGATTTTTGTCCAGTCTCTTACTACACTCCTACACCACTTTCCCCCAAGAACTGTTAGTCCACTCCCTTTCTATGCCCCTGATTCTACTATATTCACCAGTTTATTCTGTTCATCAGATTTTTTATTCACTTGAGTTTTAGATTCACTTGATAGATATGTATTTGTTGTTCATAATTTTTATCTTTACCTTTTTCTTCTTCTTCCTCTTCTTAAAGAATACCTTTCAGCATTTCATATACTAGTTTGGCAGTGATGAACTTTTTTTTAACTTTTTCTTATCTGTGAAGCTCTTTATCTGACCTGCAATTCTGAATGATAGCTTTGCTGGGTAGAGTAGCCTTGGTTGTAGGTTCTTGCTATACATCACTTAGAATATTTCTTGCCACTCCCATCTGGCCTGCATAGTTTCTGTTGATAAATCAGCTGACAATTGTATGGGTGCTCCCTTGTAGATAACTACCTGTTTTTCTCTTGCTGCTTTTAATATTCTCTAGAGTGTTTCAGGTCATTTCTAACAATTGTCCATAGAATTAGGTTGAAGTCTAGCATCTTGCTATTTTTCTTTATCCCATCTGTTCTTTGTTTCTTTTTTCCTTTTTTTCTTTTTTTCTGTCTTCTTTTGGAATACATTTTTTCATCTCCACTCCATATATTGTCTCATTATCTATATGTCAATATTTTTGGGTGCTTACTCTAGGGGTTAGAATAGGCATTTTTATAATATAATATTCTACCTTCAAATAATACTATACATATTCGTGTATAATGTGAACCTTTTAACAATATATGTTCATTTTCCTTAATATCATCCTATTGGTTTCATACATTTCACTTTCACATACTATAATCCCCATGATATGCTATATTTATGTTTAAATAGTCAATTATAGCCCTCAGCTAACATTATACTCAATGGCAAGCAAGACAAGGATGTCTACTTTTGCCAGTGTTGATTCAACATACTTTTGAAAGTTCTAGCCAGAAGATTTAGATACAACAAATAAAAGGCATACAAATTGGAGAAGAAGCAAAATTACCTCTGTTTGCAAATTTATATAATCTTATATGTAGAAAACCCTAAAGATTCCACACTAGAAAACAACTGTAGAACTAATAAATAAAATTCAGCTAAGTTGCAGTTTACAAAAGTCAGTTGTATTTCTATACACTAACAAGGAGCAATCTGAAAATAAAGTTAACAATTTCATTTATAATAACATCAAAAAGAATAATATACTTAGAAAAGACGTAAGTGTAAGAGCTAAAACTATAAAACCGTTAGAAGAAAACAAGGAAAAGGCTTCATGACATTGGATTTTGCGATGATTCTGAGGGAATTTGACAATCAATAGCTGGGCAACAACATCAAGAAAGGAAAGTTGGATTTTATCAAAATTAAAAACATTTTTGCATCAAAAGATACCATTAAGGAAGTTCACCAAATGGGAGAGAATATTTGAAAATCCTGTATCTGATAAGGGATTAATATGGATATTAATCTAATCTAGCCTCGAGGCCTAAATTCCAACTTATAGAAAGATGGGGAAATAGAAGGACAAGTTAAATACTAATATAACTAAAAACAAAAATAAAACAAACAAACAAAAAAACCCCAACAATCCACAGACAAATCCAGAACATGAGAAATTCTAAAGATAATTGGCCTGGTAGGGTTAAAAGAAACTAAACAGATAACATAAGACAATGCATAAACCTTGATTGAATCTTGGATTGTGGCTGGGGGATGAGTAGAAAGCTTTAAAAGACACTCTTTAAGAAAATTGAGAAAACATGAGCCTATATGTTCAGTGTAAAAATAGTTATTGTGGTCATGCAGGAAAATGTATTTGCACTTAACCAATGCATAATGGAATAAAGTGTTACAAATTCTGAAATTTGCTATTAAATAGTCCTGCCATAAAAATAAAATGAGTAATAGAAAATATTACAACAATGTCAAAAACTCAAATTTTAGTGGAAAGTATATGAGTGATCACTATACTATTCTATTCCTTCCTTTTTTCTGTAGATTTGAAGTTTTTCAAATTAAAAAGTTTAGGGTAAAAAAGCTTTAGGCTATTAAACTATAAAACTTAAAATGGTTAAAATGATGTTTATATTATGGGAATTTTGTCTCAAAAAAGTACAAAAAGAGCTATAGGTATCTGACATTGGAGAGCTAATGTATCTTAAATTGCTATACACAGTTCTATTCTCACAAACCATGATGTGAACAGCGTCCCCTTGAGTTATGTAATGCCATGACATTGGCTGCAATGGTGTTCTCATGTTGAGATAGAGTTAGAAGGAAACATAGAATCTTTAGGCAGAATTGAGGGGGGTAGGGGGAGAAAAACAGGACAAGATAAATTATGAGATAAAATTTTTTTATGTAACTTAATTCCTATTGTTAATCTTAGAATAAATAGAAGCAAGGCATCATTTGGCCAGAAACTGAGCATAGCCTCAACTGGTTAAGTTAATGTAAAAACCAAACTAAACTGGCCACACACCTGGGTTGATGAACGCAGGGGGAGGTGGTGGGAGAGGGCGGCCTTCTTTCATGGCTAGAGCACACTGCTTTGCTGATTGAATTGCAGTAATAAAGTCTTCATGTTGTTGTCTCCAGTTACTTTTCCTCACTGGTTGAGACTACAAACAAACAAACAAACAAAAACATATACTAGCCTAGACTATATATCTCTCCATTATAATTTTTTTTTTCAGCTGTGATTTGAATTCATGGGAAACAGGACTGTGAGATTTGGGGAGGGAAGCAGAATTTGTTTTTCAAAAATGCTAAAATAGGTTTGAAAAATGCAGTAATAAAATCCACAAATAACAGTAATGAGGGAAAACACAAAATAATCAGAAAAACAACCTAACTATAAAACCTGAAAGGAAGACTTAAATGTAAGTTTAAAAGTGACTTTCTTCCAAGTTAATTGCTAGACTTAATGCTACTCTAATGAAAGTATAAACAAGATTCTTTTTTGTCACATCTGGAAAGTATCTGAAATACATTTGGAAATCTCAGTGAGCATGATTAAAAAGAAAACAGTAAAGGTGGATTATACGTACATGACTTTACATTGCTCTATCAAGCAAGAATGAAACCACAGAGCCAGAAAGAGGCTTTAATGTACTTAAGGATGTAATAATGAACAATAAGGAAGATACTGATAATACCTTGGATTGAACAGCCACGCTCACAGTGAGAAAGTAAGTGCCTTGTAATCTTTGTTTTGAGGAATTGAAAGGCATACGCTTTTTGTTGTAGAGTTTTTTACATATTGGTCCATGCCTTTCCTAGAAAAGAGAGAGTGGAGATTATTTTTTTTTAAATGTACAAATCACCAAGTTTGTAATGCTGCAGTGTACTCAGGCAGCCCTCACTACAGGGACTGAGTTACTATACCTTCAGAGCCAAGTACATTCTCAAACTCTCAAATCACAGCAGAGCAAATCCATCTGGCTTACCTCGCCCATGTTACACATAACTACATATTATGTTCGAACGGTCAAGGTCAATAAAAGGTCTCTACAGCTAGAGAGACTTATTTCAAATTTGATTTTACACATTTAACTCTACCACTTGGGCAGTATGAATGGTTCTAAGTATTAAATAATGTTGAAAAGACAAATTTGTAGTTGAAACTGAAATACAATATTTCTGACCATTTAGCCATTTTAACTAAGGAAGTTTTGTTGATTATTTCTTATTCAGTTTCCTGCCTTTACTGTTTCTAAATTTCAAAAGCAAGTCATTCAGTAATGTAACAGGAAATTTGAGTTCCAACAACATTAATATCCAGTTTTACCATCCTTTTGAAATAGCTCTGTGCATATAGCAAGGGGAAACGTAGCTTTCTACCAATAGAATCTTTTCAGAAAAACACCTCTTTCCACTCAGCATTTCAAAATTGAGCTTAAATGGGCCACTTTTCCACATAATGATTTAACTCCTGAATAGGAGTGGAGAGGTTTCAAAGAAATAGTTGAGAACACCTGCAAAAGACAACTGGAACAACCACACAAATGCATGAAGAACATACCAGCACATTTTCCTTGAATTGTACCCAAACATCCCACATGATTAGTTTAGTCATTTATTACAAATTAATATTACAATATTTGGAAATATTTTGATCAGCAGGGAAAACTGATCATATATATAATATATATATATATTTTTTTATCTAGCCAGTAGTCCTCAGTATTTGTTACAAAACTCAGGGAACTAGCACAATGAGCTCTGCCCGTGTACTGACTTTATAGTCTGTTAGTGCACCACTAAGATATTATACTAACATCTTTGCTTTCTCCTCTAAATCCTCTTCATTGGTGGAAATGTAACTCATAAGAGTTACCACTTACATAGTTGCTATGTGCAGACCCAACAAAACACATGGCCTATGAAAATCACTGCAACTGTCTATAAACAATCCATACCATTTGAAACCAAAGGAGGGAGATCAGATGCTCTCTGTAGCCTAGAGATAGGCATAGGAAGTAAAACTTGAGAGGACCTGAGATGTACTTGACATTTAGTGACCCCTTTTCAAAGGGCACCTCCTAGGTGTCAAACCCCTTTGTCCCTTGGGGCGTGGCCTAGGCTGGAGAAGGCAAAGGCAAGTGGGGGGGGGGTGTGTGGCAAGGTCACAAGAGCACCAGAGGCCCTAGAGCTCTCCTTCTAGATTCAGGAAATTCTACCTGCATTTAATTAAAAGAACAATACTTCATTTGTTTGTTTTTGTTAATCCTCACTTAGGATATTTTCCCAATTTCCTTAGAGAGGGAAAGACAGATGTGAGAAAAGCACATCAATTGGTTGCCTCCTGCACAAGCCCTATCAGGGCCCAGGACAGGGAGGAGCCTGCAACCAAGGTAGGTGCCCTTGATCGGAATTGAACCCAAGACCCTTTGGTCCGCAGGCCAATGCTCTATTCACTGAGCAAAACCAACTGGGGACTTTTTTTTTTTTTTTTTTTTTTTTTTTTTTTTTTAATTCACCAGAGAAATAAAACCTACAAACCTCATTTTGCAGTCTTTTGCCTCAAATGCAGTCAGGCTTGTAGTTCAAATGCTTGTAGCTCCATGTAAGGCTCCTTGATCTAAATGTCCCAACTAACAACTGCATTATAAACCTAATTTTTAAAATCATCCTTTTCTTGGGAATCTTTTTATAATGTTGGGGTATAATAGCTGTTTGATCCTCTGTGAAATAAATCAAGCTTTAGTCCACCTTACAGGCATCAATCAGAAAGAGAGATGTACAGTTAGCTTGAAATTGGCTTAACAATTAGATCTTGGAAAAGGCTTTATGTTCATTTTGTTCAAATTACATTAAAACCCCGAAATTGGAGGATTCTGTCTTTGTACGTGGCAAAGCAGGGAACAGAGGGAGGTTAAAGGACTTGTCAGAATTAGTGACAAATTTGAGACTGAACGCCAAGTTTCCAGATGCTCCAAATTCAATGTTCATTCCTCTCGACTAGCTAATTTCCCTGGTGCTTTCGCCTTAAAATTTGGATTTCTGATGCTTATAGAAAAGGAGAAAGAGCCAAAACCTCTCAAGAGACAATCAGCTGTGCCAAGATATTTCTTCTGGCATCTTTTCAGTTAGAGAACCAGGTTTCATACGTGCCCTTTTGAATGTGGGCAGCATCGGACAGCTTCCGTGTCCTCTGGGCCTGCCAACCGTAGATTGTGTACCCCTCTTCCCTTGCTTTCCCTCCACATCTGTCTTTAATCTTTGCCACTGCGGCCTCCTCACTAACTTGACAGTTCATTTAACTCCAATGAAACACATCTACAAAACGTCTTTATGTTTACCAGAACATCTGCTGCAAAGCGTCTTCCACAGACTTCACAGGGAAATAAGTCCTGATTGCCATCTGTATAGGATCCAAGAGCACATTATGTTAGTTTCAAGGAATTGCCTGCCTGAGAAGAAATCACTAACTGAAGACCTCAATAGCTCGATATTTTTCACTCTTTTTTCCTTTCCCACCAACTATTATACTTCCTTCTCCAAAGATCCTCTGTAAACTCACCTGTGTTTTCTTCTCATACCATTAAACAGGTAAATTCCATATCTTTCAGGCCACCAGTGTATAATTGTAATTATTTAATAAATATATTCGTGAACAAAGTGCCTGATAGCTTTGCTTTAGACTTAAGTACAACGTTAAGACCTTAGTATGAAGCCATAAATAATCCAATGGGAATGTCTTGGGGGTTCCTACTAGAATGGAAGGTATGCTCAATGAAGGCACGCCAATTTATCAGAGACCATGAGGAAAACGTTGCCTAGTCATTGAATTTAAGGTACTCTTTCCTGAGAATGGCTTCCTCTCTTCCCATAAACAATCTTTGCCGGAGAATAACTCCTAACCATGAAGAAGGAAGTAGAAGAGACTGATGAAATGAACCAACTAGAACTGGTCGGGCTTTGATTGAAGTCAGGAAAGAGGTCTGATTACAATGAAGAAGCCTATGAAAATGAGGAACATCATTCTAGGGGTTGTGTTCAGGGTCAGACCTCCTGGTAGGGTTAGTGAATGATACTGCTGGCATTTTATGTGAAGTGGTGAATGAGTAAAGGATTATAATCACAATAGGTTCAGTACTTGCTATTTTTAAATTTTAATATTTAACCATAGTGGTATTTTAAAAGTCAAATGAAGAATAAACTCTCCCTGGCCAGGTGGCTCAATAGGCTGGATGCTCTAGGTTGCAGATTCGATTCCTCATCAGAGGTTGCAGATTCGATTCCTCGTCAGAGCACATGCCCAGGTTTTGTGTTAGGGTGAGAATAGGAGCCAACTGATTGATGTTTATTTTTCACACTGATGTTTCTCTTTTTCTCTCTTTCCTTTCTCCTTCCTCTCTTTAAAACCAATGGAAACATACCCTCAGGTGAGGATTTAAAAAATTAAAAAAAGAATAAACTCAAATATAAAAGAAAAAAAAAGAAAAAGCTGAAACTGGGCCCACTATGACTCCATGCCTCAAAGTACCTGACCCATAGAAAAGTGCTCAATAAATTCTTATTGAATGTATGGGCCAAACAAGAATTGAGTTTCCACCATAGGACCAATTATTTATTCAATAAATATCTGCTATGTGCAACTCTGTGGGAATGAGAGAAACCATACGTGGGTCCAGCCCAGAAAAGGAGAAAAGTTTGTACATAAATTAAGTAAAGTTAGCAAAGTGTCATGAGAAAGGGAAAACATTACAGAATTCGGAAAAAAAAAAAAAAAAGAAAAAAGAAAAAAAAAAAAAAGAGTTGCACTTCATATTACTTCCTCTCTGTTCATCTGGAGTATATACAGATTTAAAAAGCAGTTTGATCATGGTGAAGATTTTATATCAGAATAAAAATCTGCACTTTTTTCTCCACACAAGGGGAGCAATCAAGAACACCGATGAGGAAGAACCTGAACTGTGGAAGATTGATGTGACAGAAAGGAGGAAAGACAGGATTTTATTTAAAAAGCTAAAGTTGCAGGCCTGAAATAGACAGGCAAGAGGAAATGGAAGACGCTATGGTCAAAGAATTGACAGTGTGACTAGATGTGAGGGAGTTGGGTGATGGCTGTGAGAGAAGGATGCCTGAGGACAGAGAAGATGGCAGGGCTGTGGATGGAAATGCAGCATTTGAAAAAATAGGGCCATCTTAGTAAGAAAAATGACCTCAGCTTTGGAAATACTGAGTTTGAAAGAGTCAGCCAGCCAGCAGGATGGAAATGAGGGAGGTCAGGACTAGAGACACAGATGCAGGCTTTGTTTGGAGAGTGATGTAAAGGCATGATACTGCCAGGGAAGAGGTCATGGAAAGAGAAGTACAGGGATGATCCCGAGGGAACTCCATAGTTGAGGGCCAAAGAGATGATGATGATAAGCCAGAAAAAGAAGCAGGAGAGAACAAGGTCATGGAAACCAAGGGAAGACAGTTCAAAAAAGTAAGGCTTGATTAACAGGAATCAGATGCTAGTTCATTATACACACTGTTGATTTAAATGATTTCTTCTCACATCTGCCAGATGTATTTGCAACACAGGTCATCCATTACAGCATATAGCAACACCACTCATCCTCTCTGTGCTTTTGGCCTTCTCTGTAAAATACGGTCTTAATTTTTTTTTTTTTTCCAGCAAAGATATCCCACCCTTCCACATACTTGTTAATAAAAACTACTCATCTTAATTATAAAACTGCTGCTTTTTCTAAAACACTAGAGGTTTGTTTGCATAAATATTACTTTAACATTTATTGTTTTCTTGTTCCCCACACACTTTTCCTGTGAATTCTCATTTGCTCCTCTCCATAATACTGTGAGACAGGGTCGGTATTCTTATTTACAGATAAGAAAATGGAGGTTCAAGGTTAGGTGACTTCTCTAAGACCACAGATAATAAGTGGTAACACTGACATTTGAACTTGATATGAGAATCAAGACTATTTCTTCAACTGTTACCAGAAATAAAGCCACGTTATATCAGTACTCACCTGCAAAGCAAATGGAAGTCCCTGGAGAAACAGCACCTTCTCGTTTATAAATCAATTAGTTTTAAAGAGTTCAGTGAATTTAAAATAATGACAGATACAATATGATTCAATTGAAATACATGGACCATCACATTCTGAATGACATTCAGCTCGGGAGCTTGACTAACAAGGAAAGAAGGGATTACCTACCTAAGTCAGGTGAACCAAACATGGAGACGAATTAGGTCTACAGTGTTTGTTCCAGAATGCCGAATCACATGGGCTATATGATCATTAGAACCTTAAAAGAATTCTTTGAAATAACCAAATAAACTGTGACATCCATACCTGGAATGTTACACATCAATAGGAAGGAAACTATTGTTACACGAACAATATGAATGGATCTCAATGCTGAGAGAAAGTAGTCAATCTCAAAAGTCACATACTGTATGATTCCACTTGTATTACATTCTCAAAATGACAAAATTAATAGCGATGGAAATTAGATGACTGCCAAGACGTAGGGATGATCAGGGAGGAAGATTGTTGTGATTACATAGGAGCGAGGAAGATCTTTAGGTCCTGTATATTGTATTTGTTACACATGTATAATATGGTTACACAGAACTATATATTTCTTGGTTTGGCTATTGCACTGTAGTTACTTAAGATGTAACTTGGGAGAAACTAGGTCAAGTGTACATGGGCTCTCATACTATTTTGAAACTTTGTGAACTATAATTATGTCAAAATTAAAAGTTTTTTAAAAATATCTAGGAGTTGGCAAATTGTGGCCCATGGGCCAAATCTGGAGTTGCATGTTTTAGTAAATAAATTTGTCTTGGTAAACAGTCATGCCTATTCGTTTGTTTACATAATATATATTGCTGCTTTCACACGACAACAGCAGAGTAGTTGTAACAGAGACCATATGATTTGCAAAGCCAAAAATTATATGTGGTCTTTACAGAAAAAGATCGCCACTCAGCAAATGAGAATGTAGTCATTAGAAATTATTTTGGGAGAATAACATGGAAAATGTTAATGTTATATTAACTATACAGGTCTCTCTATATATGCAGTAATTAACACTGATAATAAAAGTGGTTATTTCTTTTTCCTACATTTTCTATTTTTCTATAAAGATTTTAAAAATCAGAATAAAAGATTTAAAAAACCGATTTGAACCTCTTTCCCAACTGCCGGTAAGGTGCTTGGCTTTTCTGAAGAAGCCAAGGCTGTGTTGGGGAGAGGGGAGGACCCTCAATTCACCCAGCCACGAGCACTATGCCTGACAGTGCTCGCTAAGCATGTGCCACTGCAAGGCCTCTGTCTGGAAGTTCACCAACATCTACTGGTCCTTATTCCACACAACAATGAGGTGACCCTGATGAGGTGACCATGACAGAGGCTAAGTTTAATGTCCTCATTAAAGCAGCTGCTGTAAATGCTGAATCTTTCTGGCCAGGCTTGTTTGCAAAGGCTCTGACCAATGTCAACATCGGGAGCCTCATCTGCAACGGAGGGGCTAGTGGACCTGTCCCCTCCACCATGGCTGCCCCAGCAAAGAAGGAAGAATCTGAGGAGTCTGATGATGACATGGGCTTTGGTCTTTTAGATTAAATCTCTTTTGTAACACATTTAATAAAATGCTGAACTCAAAAAACACACAACCCTTTTGAAAGAAAAGATTCTACAACAATGAGTATCAATTTAGCTATCCTATCTTTACTCTGGGTCAAGTCTTACTTAGTAGATTATTAAAGTAGCTATTACTTTTATACATTGGTTTATAATCTTAGACATTTTTTTTAAATGAGGAAAGTGATCTGGAAGTAATGAACAGTTTTGTGTAGCATGTTGACAGTGAAAAATAAGCATTACAAAGATCTCAGTTCAACATTTTTATAAAAAGCCTGGAGAGGACTATGGTTATAATGAAATTGGGGGGGAAATTCTACTTCCGACTAGACATTCTCTTTCTGAGTTGGAAGAATGCTTTGTAAAAACACCTAACTCACATTTCCTTATAAAGGCATGAAAAAGAAATAAAAAGGAAGATGTTTTCTCATTCCCTTGTTAGCAAGTCAAAAAATTCTTAAATCCTTTACAATCCAGAACATGCAAACATTAGCAATTTTGACATCTTCCACGGCCATATGGCCAAGGTGGCATGACCTCAACTTATTAACTTATCTCAGAAACATGACTTGTGAAACTAGAAAAGGAATAAGTTAGGATGGCAGAGAAAACAGCCCATCAATTTTTGTTCTCTCCCCAAGCCCCAAAATACTAGAGTAAACAGACAAAAGGACATAGAGACCCAGAAAAACACAAGAACATGGACAAAAGACAACAAAACTGGAAATCTGGAAAGCTGATAAACATGATAATCAAC